GTTCATGCCAGCGACAGCAAGGACATTAAGCCACAGAGTGGGACCCAGGTGCAGGTCCACGAGTCCGGCTCAGCCTGGGGCCCCAAATAGAAATTCATGTCCCTGCCCAAAGAGATGGATGCCAACTTACACAAATGGCCTCCTCTTGCTGTTATGTAAGTTCACACATCACCCAAACAGTCTTCCTCGGGAACAGCCTCCTCCTGCCAATGAGCATCTTCGGTGGACTCGCTGTGGGGACCATCCGTCCTCCTGGCCCCGCCTTCCTCAGCCCCAGGGCTGCCCTTTCCTGCAGAAGGGGGTCTGGGTCAGCAGAGCCCTGCCTCGGCCGGGAGGACGGATTCGGGACACAACAGGGACCAGGCGCTCCCCAGCTCTAGCCTCCCACCCTCAGCCCTGACCCTAAACTCCTTTCCCCTCCTTGCATGGTGTTTTTAGCAAAGATCCCTCATCTTTGGACCAAACCCAGCTGTTACCCTGGAGGCCACCAATAAATTTCTTAGGCAAATAAAATTGACTGAAAATTAGCATAAGAAGCCTTAAATTAACAGGATGTAATTTTATGAGTATCTCACAAGCCAGTCAAAGATGTATGTCAGCCCGGGTGAGTCAACACTTGAAAGTGTCTTTCATTATATAATGCTGCTAATTTTTTTCAAATGTAAGCAATGTGCTTTCTTCCTAAACATTGTGTTCTTTGTTCTGAAATTCGGAAAAATAAATTCTCTTTAAAGCAATGCTTTGCCTAACCACAAAACAGAGCGGGAGGCTGGGTCAGAAGTGCCGGCCTCCGCTCTGTCTGGGGAGCCCCCGGTCATGCCCGTGCCCCAGGCTCGGAGACCCCATCTCCAGGCACAGCAACCAGTGGCTGGGAGACTTCCAGGCAAGCCCATGTGTGAGGGGACAGCCGGCCTCTGCTTCTCCCCAAGGACCCGGCTGGGTGTCAGCACCAGGCCGTGAGGCCCAGCCCTGTCATACTGTGCTGTAATGGGTGCTGGGGGCACGTGGAGGGGCGCTCCCGGCTCCCCTTTGAGCTGTGCACAGATTTTCAAGAAGCAGAGGCATGGCCAGGTGGGCAAGATGGCCTGCTGAGCACCATGGGGCCTGCGGGAAGCTCCCCGTAGCCCAAGGCCAGCAGAGGCTACAAAATGGCAGAGCATGGAGGAGGCCTCAGACACCAGCACCAGTCGCTGGTCCGGGGGACTGCGCTGTCAAAGGCCTCATCAGAACATCAGAGAGGGTCTGGCCTGGGGCTCCTCTCCCAGATTGTGGTTCCCAGGGAGACCAGGGCCCCAGGAAGCAGCTAACCCTAGGTCAACTCTCTGCCTGTCCCCCGAAGGCAGGCCTTGGGAAGGAAGACGTTGGCACAATGGGTGTGGCCAGAGGGGCACCCAGGCTTCTGACCGCACCCCAAGGGTGAGCCAGAGGGCTCCGACTCAGCTCAGGGTTGGCCAAGGAGGAAGGCTTGGCCATCAGGTGAGGGCTGGCAAGATCTAAACTCCTCAGTGTGCAGACAGTCCCAGGGCCTGAGCAGGGGAGACCCCCATGCTTTGCAGAGCTGGAGGTTCCATCTCTGGAGCCAGGCAGAAAGGTGGGTGGCACGCAGAGTGGACAGGAGCCTCCCGCCATGCCCAGGCCCTGCCATGGTGAAGCGGAAGTGGTGTGCAGTGGCTCACACATCCGTCCCTGTCCCACTGCCTGCAGAGCCTCCAGTGTCCTGGGCCAAGTGCTGCAGGTGGAGCTGAGCATCCTCTGAGCCCCCTGCACAGCTGGGCCTGCGTCACCGCGCAGCAGCCCATGGCTTCAGAAAGCATCTCACCTGCCTCCCCTCAGGCGGTGTGGAGATCCCAGGGGTCACTCTGAAGAAACAGCCAGGATCTGGGGAGCCTGGAAGTAGGCAGGACGGGGCCTCTTGCTGCCTCACAACCCCTGGGGCTGATGACCACAGACCCAGGCTCCCCACTCCCATCACTTGCACAGCCCACGAGGCCAGGAGGTCTGGCTGCCCCTGGTGGGGAGACAGCACGAGAAAGTCACCCAGGAGACACACCCAGGTTTGCAAAGGGGAATTAGGAATCCTGGCGCCCCTTGTACGGAGCAAAGATGTGTCCCCCTTTCTTGTCCTTCCATGCCTGGATGACAGACAGCTGCCCTGGGCAGAGGGGCAGTGGACACGGAGCCCTGCCTACTTTTGTCACACTGTGTATTGGATAGACTCTCCCACTGCCTCAGTTTCCCCTTCTGGACAAAGCCAGGGACATGCCTAGGGGACCTGCCTGCTGTAACCATCGTGCAGCTGGTGTGGAGCACCAGTGAACTTCTGCACCTTGCGCCTGCCCCTGAAGTCCCTGCCCACCGCTCTCCACAGCCTCGGTGCTGTCCCCTCCATCCCCCCGGCCACTGTCAGCCTGTGAAAGGTGGCAGATGAGTGGCAGACTTGTCCCCACCAGGCGGGGTGCTCTCTGTCCAGAGTTCAGCAGTGGATAACTAAACGAGATCATCTCAGACCCTCCCACTGCACCTAGCTGTGTGCCCAAGGCTTTTGCAGTGCTGCCCAATGTCCAGGACACTCGTGTGACAAGGGCACAGCCACCCGCACGCTTGGCCAACCAGTGCCTGTGACAGAGACACCTGGATTCAGACCCACTCGCTTTTCTCACCCCTGGGTTGTCCCAGGGGAGCCCAGAGGCACAGACACAGAAACAAGGCAACAAGGCTGCCCCTGGGAGGCCAGGCAGAGACCAGACCAGGAAGCCTAGGAGATGCAGGTCTCGATGGATAAGTTCGGCTCCCCAGGAATCAAACCTCAGCTTAGAGTCGGCCAGGCCTTCGGACCCACTGTCATTGGAGAAGGTCCCGGGGTGGCAGAGAGGAGCAGGCGGCGGGAGACAGAGCCAAAGGGCTTCTGGGATTTCGGGCAGCAGGGACCCGTGTCCGGGCGCCTCCCTCCCGCCATGCTGGCAGGCCTGGCTGTTGTGCAATGGCTCGCTGAGCTATTCCTGTCTGCTGCCAGTAAACAACTGTCCTGTGGCGCTTGCCATCTTGGCTCTGATTCCCTGCCAGGGGGACGCTTGGTCCTGACTCACCTTCCCACGGACATCCAGCCTCCTCGAGCGCAGGGGTCCTGCCCACACAAGTGTCTGGGCCTCGTGATGGAGCATGAACAGGCTGGCAGCTGGCTTTATGGGCTTGGCTCTGCAGCGTCCCTCCGTCCCCATGACGCCGAGGCCGGGTGCGAGCCAGACCTGGACCCAGAGTTGCCCAGAGGCTGTGAGGGACCATGCGCCACCCCGGGCTCCCCAACGGAAGGGCATGGGTTCCCAAGATGGTGGGCACAAGGCCACTCTGAGGCCCCTTGTGCCCCTCCCTCTTGCTCTTGTTTTGGGAACTCCCATCCTTGCAAGTCCCTGTCATGCTCAGCCTTCCTGGGGGACATGCTGGAGTACAGAGCAGCATAGAGCAGGGACAGCAGGACCCAAGCAGGGACACAGGGCAGCAACTGGTCAGCGACATGTGCCACAGGACGGGACACCTGCTCCAGAAAGAGGCTGCCACCACGTTGAGACCTGCCATTGGAAAACAGGCAGGTTCCCAGGGGAAGGACAGATATTTCAGCCACGCCAAAAGGCCAGCGTGGGTAGACCAGGGAGTGTGAGATTGCCGGAGGATGCACTAACTACCACAGCTGCCTGCCATAACAAAGCCCTGAGACCCAGGCCGAGACAAGAGGACGTTATTTTCCACAGTCCTAGAGGGTGGAAGTCCAAGCTCAAGGCGTCCACAGGGTTGGCTTCTTTCAAGGCCTCTCTCTTGCCTGCAGCTGCTGCCTGCTTGGTGTCTGCTTGTGGCCCCAGCCAGTGCCTGTGTGCTAACATCCTCTGCTGGGAGGACACCAGCCATACCCAATTAGGGCCACCCAAAGTGACTTCACCTCTCCAAAGACCCCATCTCCAGGCAGCCACAGTCCTGGGTATTACAGCTTCAACAGGGGATTCGTGGGCGGGACACAGTCCATCCCCTAACAAGGCGTGGAAGTTGAACCTAAAGCACTTGAAAAGGAAGAACAAAGAACATAAACTCCAAAGAACATCCTCCCCCACCTTTGGGGCCCCGAGGGAGGGCCAGAGGTGGTGAGCGAGCCGTCGGGAAGAGAGCAGGACCTGGCCTCTTAATCAGGACAGGCTCTCAGCAAGACACAGTGGAAGATAAGTGGGAAAGCACTTCATCTCCAATGCGTTAATCTGCCCTGAAATCAGCCAAGCATTCATCATCATGATGCTGATTTTCCAGGAAAATTAAATAATTGCAGCCCAGGTGGGAGGACCTGAGTCACGGCCCTTAACACCGCCCTCCAGGGCCTCGGCGAGATGGATTCCATTGCTGCGGACTTGCGCAAAGCCTCTTTTTTGTGTATGGAGACTGTGGGGATCTGACAGCCAGCTCCTGAGAGCTGGTGGGCGGCTGTCACAGCGACGGTTCTCTTGGACATGAGCTCTCACGGTGCCTCTGGTAATGGCCCACTTCAAGAGACTGAGGGTCTCTCCAGCCTGTTACCAAGTCCTACAACTTCTGAATCACAGAGAAGTGGGTGCCAGGGGTTGCATCCGAGCAGGGACAGCAGTCTACGTCCCTGGGACGCCCAAGCCCAGCCCTGGCTTCGAGCCACCACGCCCTGTGCCCAGGCTCCGCAGCCTCCCTGTCTGTTCTTGGGAGGCACAGTCACAGCTGTCCTCACTCTGGGATCACAGGCCTTGGCTCTGGGAGGAAACCCCTGTCCCTGAGAGTGACACACAAGGCCCTGGGAGGACAGGCTCCCTTCTAGGGCTGTCACCAAGATCTCTGCAGCCAGCAGCCTCCTTTCTTTATTTTCCTCATTTCCATATCTTTTCTAGATGCCTCTTGGTTTCAAACAGTTGAGTTCATCTTACTCCTTACTTCCTGGCACATAATGATCAACTGCCCGTCACATTTAATGCTACAAAACCCCTATGCCCACTTACCGGTGCCCCCAAAGCACTCACTGGAGGACTTCATCTACACTCTTGGATGTGCGTTGAAACAGGCGGAGCTCTTGTTTTGTGTGCAAGCATGGCTTCCGCTGTAAGTATGTTTTGTTGTGCTCTCCAGCCCCTGTTTCTTACTTTTTTCATCCAACAATATGCCTTGCAAATCTGTCCGCGTAGCTCGTTGCAGTATGTGCCTCCAGTTCGGTGATTCTGACAAGAGCACGAATCTTGAGTTCCACATCTTCCTGTTACTTACAGGTGCCCTGGGGTGGACATGAATGGACCGTCTTCCCCCTGCACCGAGCGGAGGGCCCTGAGGAGCCTCCCAGGGATCCCCTGGCTCTTGGAGCGTCACTGAGGCCTGCTGTGGGCCCAGCCCCGGACCTCCCCTCGAGTTTCTCTGGGCACATGGGAAAGAGGGAGGCCATACAGTCGAGAGCCACACAGGCTGCGGGTGGGCAGAGCACTGTCTGGCAGGCATGAGGCCCTGGGCTCATCCTCAGCACTGAGAAAGGAAAAGGAAACCACACAGACGGACTGTCACTGTGGGCCCCCAAGAGCAAAGCACTGACCTGCCCTCCCTCGAATCTCTCCACCTACCCGTTAGCTTTGCAGGTTTTCCTTCTCTGCACTGCCCGTTGTGTTCCACACACTGGCCCAATTTGTGTCTGAGTTCTGTACTCTGGAGAGCAGCCCTGCACCAATGTCCCTGTTGTAAACATCACACCGCAGCCTGACCTTTGCTCCTAACCTGGAGTCCACTTTCCATGGACCGGTATCTTTAACTCTGATGTAGGCAAACCCACCAGCAAGTCGCCCTGAGGGTTATGTTTTGTAGACCTTAACCAGCCCCACCTGCACCTGAAGGTCACAGAGGTATTCCATACATTTTTAACTCATGTGATAGTTTCACTCCTCATGTGTAATATTTGAACCATTTATATTTAACCTGCCCACACTTCCTAGACATGTGGTATGAAGTGTGAGGAAATCCACTTAATTCTTCCTATATACAGGGAGCCAGTTTTCCCAAAGGGATGATAAATTTATACCGTCCCCTCTGGCTTCTGATTCCCCTGGTAGCATTTACACTTCGTTGTCTGTATCTCCCAGTCTTGGACCAAATAAGTTTTAAAAGATGGCTTCCTGCTTTCCCTTTCTGGCCATCATTCCCCAAACAATGCAGTATAACAATTATTTACATAGCACTTCCATGGTATTAGGGGCTATATGTCATCTAAAGCCGATGAGAGGATACGGGTGGACATGTGCGGTTCCCTACAAGTGCTACATGTCATAGGAGGGTCTTGAGCCTCCTCAGCTTGGTATCCATGGGGATGCTAGAATGCGTCCCTCTGATATCCAGGGATGACTAGACCGTGCCTCCTTATGTGAAGGGTGTGGCTCTAATCTCTGTGGGCTTTTCATCATCATGGCATGGTAGATGGAAGTCCAAGATGCCCCTAAGACCCCCACAGTGTAGAACCCCTCTCACTAATGGGAGGGCAGCCTGTGTCCTCTGTGGGGCATCACTCCTGGGATTGGGCTACTAACCAGGTGACTCAGAGTTGATCAAAAAGGAGGTTATCCTTGTGGCCTGAATAAGGTGAGCCAAGGCCTTCCCTGGATGAGAGGTTCGACACGGGCTCAGGTGATAGGAAAAGTATCTGGGGCTTTGCAGAAGAAAGAGGGGTCTGGCAGACAGCACAGGAGGCCTCTGGGGACTGGGAGTGGCCTTCTGTGGGTACTCAGTAAGGAAACAGGTTCTCACCCACACCAAAGTCAACTGGACCCACCACAGAATGAACCTGGAAATGAACTGTTCCCCAGAGGAGCCTGTGACAGGTGATGCCATGGCCCCAGCAGAGACCTGATGGGTCAGGCCAGACTTCTGACCTGCAGAACCCCACACAAAAATTTTAAAACTGATACACGGTAAAAGAAAATGAATGCATTGTCCCTGCAGGATGTCTCCATGCTAGGCAGGACAAGCCCACCTCCTCCTTACCCTCAATCCTGAGCTCTCCTTTTAAAATAAACTTAGCAAGTTGTGGACATTATGGCTTATATATATTTTAGAATGAGTTTGTCAAGTCTCTCAAAAAGTCCAGCTGGTATTTTGAACAAAATTACATGAAATTTATAGATTAATGTGGGAAGATCTGACATTTTGACAATTTTAAGCGTCCGTGAAATGGTCTCTCTCCACTTGTTTGTGGGTTCCTTTAGGTCCTTCCAGTGCTTTCAATTTTATCTCTCCCTTCTTCATGGCTTCTTTTGTGTCCTTTGCATTTTAAAGAAAATTTGGGCTTTTACCCTAAAAGGTTTTTTGCATTTATTTTTTACCTAATTTCTAGATCCTTCATCATTTTGGTTCCTCTTGTGAATGTTTGTCTTTTTCTATTATATTTCTAATTGGTTAATGCCGGTGTAGAGGAAAGCCACTAATTTTAGTAAGTTGATCTCGTATTCAGGAGTCTTGCTAAGCTCTATTATTAGTTCCGATAAATTTTCTGTTCATTCTGTTGGGCTGCTATATAGATGACATATAATCTGTGTGTGCTGACAGCCGTCTCTTCCTCTCTTCCTCTCTTCACAGCCTTTCACTTTCTTGGTCCAGGGGCCCCGCCCAAGGCTCCCTTTGGGGCTGAATAGCTGCGGTGTCTCCACTTGTCCTATTTCCCAAGTGCAAGGGAATGGTTCTGAAGCACCTCTGTACCGTAGCTGATTTCCCACTGAGGTTTTAATCTGTAAAGACTTTGCCACAACAAAGATGTTTGTTCCTACTGAGAGTTTCCTGAGTTGTTGTTTTGTTTGTTTCTTTGTTTGAATTGCAGTCCTAGGGAGTGAACTCGGGCTCTTCCCACGGAGCTGCAGCCCCAGCCATTTCTTTTTTTTTTTTTTGGTACCAGGTATTGAACTTGCTCGGGTCCTTGCACTTGCAAGGCAGGCAGCAGAACCACTGAGCTAAATCCCCGGCCCTCCAGCCAATTTTAAAATTTTATTTGAGACAGGGTCTCGCTGAGTTGGTAAGTTGCTTGAGAATTTTTTTTTTCAAATCACCATTTGATGTTGAACTTTACCAAACACTTCTCAGTTGCTCTTTTAGTCCTTTAATATAGTAGATAGCACATTCATGAGATTTGTGATGTGAAGTTGTTCTCGCATGCCTAGAATAAGCTCAACTAGATCATTTTTCAAGATATACCACAAGGTTAACTAGAAGCTTATTTTGAATTTTGCAACAATTTTTATAAATTAAATAGCCTTTTTTTTTTTTCTTACATTGACCAAACCCAAATTTGGAATCCAGGTTAGTTTAGCCTCATAAAATGAGTTAGGCAGATTTCTCTTATTTTCACTCTTCTGGAAAAATGCCTCCAAGAGTATTTTATCTGATCTGATCCTTAAATATTCAGTAGAATTCTTCTGTAAAGCTCTCTAGGCTAGGCTTGATAATTTTTTGACAGGAACGTCTTTCTCATTTCAGCTTTCTCCCTTCTTTCCTTCCTTCCTCCCTCCCTCTTTCCTTCTCTCTCTCTCTCTCTCTCTCTCTCTTCCTTCATTTTGTTTCTGTTGTTGCTGCTGGTTCCAGAGCCCAGGGCCTCAGGTATGCTAAACAAGTGCTCTACCTCTGAGGTACAAACCCAGCCCTGACCGCCATTTCAATATCTTGAGAATTCGGTTTCCTTATATGTTATTACAATCTTCTCTATATTTGTTTTATTTATTTTTTGACTGATTGAAATGTCAATCTATCAGTTCCTAAGAGGAACGTTTTATAAAAAATGTTCTAAATGTTGATTTATACCCAACTCCCAAATCAACATTTAGAACATTTTTTAATCAGGCCTTATTCCAGTGAGCATTCTCTCTTTAATATCAGAGCTTGGCTTGCCTGCTGGAGAACTTCACTTAAAAAGAGTTGTCTTCGTTCATGTCTAGATTTATTCAGCCCAATTCCATGGATGGTGATTGTATTAGTCACTTTCCTGTCACTGGCACAAAATACCAGATACCTGCAACTTAAAAGAGGGGTGGTATATTTGGCCTGCAGTTTCAGTGGGTTCGGTCCATGGTTGGCTGGCTCCAAGGCAGAAATGGCATGGTGGAAGGGCCTGGTGGAGAAAATCTGCTCAACCTATGGCAGGCAGGAAGTGGAGAGGGAGGAAAGGAGGAGCCAGGGACAAAAATACCCCCTTCCAATGCCTCCAGTTATTCACCTGCTTCAACCAGGCCCCACCTCCTAACAGCACACTTAGCTATGAACTCTTTAATGAACTAATCCACTGAGGAGCACAGCACCTCATGCTCCAATCATCTTCCAAAGGCCCCACCTCTGAACACAGGAGACTTTGGGGGGTATCTTAGATCTAAACTGTAATAGTCATTCAGGCCATTGCATATATCAGTCAGAGGTTCTTGGTGCCATAGAATAGTTTTCCTGAATAGCCTATAATGTATTTATTCATCAACTGTGGAGGACATGCAGATTGCTTCTGGTTTTTAGTTACTATGAATAAAACAGCTATATATGATTTTATATAAAAAATTTAGAGATTTGTGTTTTTATTTCTCTCAGGAAAGTACCTAAGAGTAGAACTGCTTAATGACTAGGTAAGTGTGTATTTACATCTATAAAACCATCAGGAAATATCACATGGTAACTCATAAACATGCACAATTTTTATGTCAATTTATATATAAAAAAAAGCTTCTCAAAAGTTTCCAAGTGATGGCAGCATTTGACACTTCAATAGTACCAAGAAAGGCCACTTACTATCCTACTTTTCAAGGGTACAGAAGGCACCATCCATGAGGAGTCACAAGACACTAAATCTGCAGTACTTTGACTGTGGATTTCCTGGCCTGCAGATCAGAGAGAAACAAATGTTTGTTGTTGATGGGCCACTCAGTTTGTAGCATTTTGTGATAGCATCTCAAACTAAAACCCTTTCTTTTTCTTGGGTAAATACCTCGGAGTAGAATGGCTGGAACATAGGACATGTCCGTGTTTAACGTTTAAGGAACTTAGAAAGTGTTCTCAAAGGGGTCACATGGTCTTATACTCCTCCAGCAGTGCTGGAGACTCATTGCTCTACACTCTTGTCAATACTGGGTGTGGTGAGTCTTTCCAATTTTAGCCATTCGAATAGGCCTGCAGTGGTGTCTCACTGTAGCTCACTAATGACTACTGACACTGAGCATATCTGCCATCCACGTGTGTCTTCTTGGACCAAGTAAATTTTCAAACATTTTATTCATTGTAAAAATTAGATTGTGCTTTTTGTAACTGAGTCAAGAGCTCTCTATGTGCTAGATAAAAGTTCTTTGTCAGACACATGCTTTAAAAATATTTTCTTCCAGTCTGTGCTTTGTTTTTTTATTCTCCTAACAGTGCCTTTTGAAGAGCACAAGGTTTTGCTTTTAATTTATCAATGTAGTTCTTTACAGAGTGTACTTTTAATGACATATTTAAGAAATATTGGCCGAGTTCGGAGTCACAAAGATTTTTCTCCTATATCTTTTTTATTAGAAGATGCATGGTTTTACATTTTACATTTAAGTCTAGGATAAACTTCGGGTTAATTTTTTGTATATGGTGCAAGTTAATGGGCCAAAGTTGAACTTGCAGGATATGGCTGTCCGACAGACCCATCATCATTTGCCACCATCCACTCTTCCACCTTTGCATTGGTATCAAAAATCAGTTTGGTATTGTTTAAAGTTTATTTCTGAACTCACCATTCTGTTCTATTCACCTATTTATCTATCTTGCAGTCAATATCTTTGTGTAGCTTTTTAATAAATCTTGAAATCAGGT